TTCCCTCGCGCGCACATGTACACACGGTCACATGTATACGCGCCGCGCCGCGTATACGCTCGCGCGCGCATGGGACGCGCGAGACACACACACACACACACACACACGTGCGACACACGCGAGCGCACACAGAGGCGCACCGGTCCACGGATAACGTCCTCGATACGCCGCCGACACCGGCACCGAGGCACGACATCGAGGCGCTCCGAAAAGCGCTATCTCGCAGCACCTCGCTCGCTCGAAGCCTCGGCTCTAATCAGCGCTTCGATCCGTGCTTTCGAGCGTCCTACTTTGATCATCAGAGCCGCTCGTTCGTTCGGTCACTAGCTAGCTAGCTAGCTCGCTAGCTCGCTCTCGCTCGTCTGTTCACAGCGCGACGCGCGTGTGTCGTGATCCGTGCCGTGTATAAATCGCGATCCGCGCGCGCGATAGAAAATTCTCTCTATCTGTGGCACCCTCTCTCCTTCCCTCCTCCCCCCCCCCTCTCTCTCTCTCTCTCATTTTCTCTCTCGTAGACGTTGGCTCGTACCTCGCGAACGCGAGCGAATCGCGAGCAAACGCGCAATGGGTCCTCGTCGGCGTCGAGACCAGATACTCACCGTCCGATGTCGATGAGAGCGCGATATATTTAGATCGGCGAATCGCGCGGATGCTTTGAGCGAACGTTCGTTCCTCGCGCATTAATTCGCCTTCGTCTCGCTCTCGACGTTGTAGCGTCGAGAGAGAGTGCCGTCCTGAGGCTCGGTACTATCCGCTTTAAAGCGCGATTTCGTCGCGCTTAACAACCTCGCGCCTTCGTTACCGCGCGCCATTTTGCCGCGCGCTCGCGCTCGCGCGCGCACGTTATTTTGCATCGCCCACAGGTCGGGTTAAAAAAAAATCGCGACCCTGGCGGAATGGGCCAACGCGTTGACGACGAGATGCGGCCGCTGAGGGAGAAAATTATAATTCACTATAAATTTGCGAGACACACGCATGCACGAGCGCAAGCGGTGTCTTTTATTAACATCTGCATAAGCGCTGAGCATTGTGCCGTAAAATGATCGGAAATTTCGAACGAAACTTACATTTCGGATTAAAACTGGATATCGCGCCACGATGATGATGCGGAAGCGTCCGATTACTGAGCGGGGAGGCAAGAAGGAGAAAAGAACAAGAGAGAGAGAGAGAGAGAGAGAGAGAGAGGGG